TTTCAATATTAAATACATTATTGTATAAACACATTAATACTTTTTTGTTTTTAAATATGACGTTTTGCTTATTGTGTGATATTGCCACTATTTTATTAAATAGAAAGCATACGATAATTTCAGGTTTATATGTTTGCTGACTCCTTTAAAGACACAAATGTGAGGAGTGTGTTTCAGAGCTCCACATCAATAAAGTAATGGACATTGTGTATGAATGTATCGCAGAGCTCCACTGCAATAAAACTCACATTAATAAGCAATGTGTATCGCTTTATCACAGAGCTTACATAGTTAGAGACGTGTCCATGAAGTTCAGCCTTTCTCAAGACTGTTTTTGCTGTTGATCCAAAGTAAGGCAAAAAAATCCAGTTTGAAGCCCTTTCCAATTATGCAACAAACGAGGAAAAAAAAAATCCTTCTTGACCCCAGAATGTGATTTAGATCTCTACTTGGAGCAAGCACCTGTTACCCCACATTAAAAATTATATCCCTGAATATTGTTTTTGCATGTATTCATTCGGTTGCTGTTTAAACATCTGTAATGACTGAGATAAAACTACTTCTTTAGGCAGAGAATTCCACATCCTTATTGTTGTTACTGTAAAAAAAAACACAAACATTTATTTTGCCTTAGCCTAAATCTCCTTTCTTCCAGTCTAATTGCGTGACTTTGTGTCCTTTGAATGGTTTGTACTAGGCCTTGAATATATTTGTATAATGCTATCATATCCTCCCTGAGGCTTCACAGCAATAAAACTCACAGTAATGTGCATCACTACAACAATAAAATACAGAGTAATGCAAAGTTTGTATGAATGTATCATATATTTAACATCAATAACACTCAAAGTAACATGTGGTGTGTATGACTATCACAGAGCACGGTGGCAATTAAAGGCACATTGATGTATTTTACAATTTCTGCCAAAACAATCACTAGGATTTACACTAAAATGTATTTCTATATATCCAACCATCAAATCCATTAATGCATCAAACGTTATCGCTATAACTTGTTTCAAATTATTAACATTCACAATTGGAACATATTTGTAGATTTAAAAAACAAACAAACAAAAAAAAACAACAACATTGAAATTAGGTGTGAAACTGAAGCTTCGGAGAATAAAGCAAAAAATGGCACAATTGCAGTTCCGATACAGAAAACACAAAAGTTGTCAGTTGTTCCTTTCTAAATAACAACTTCTGCAATCATGTTATCAGATCCAGCCTCCGTATTGCAATTTATTGGGTAGGTACACTCTGGAAAGGTAGGTGGGTGAAAGGGAGCTCAGTGCTTGGATTTCTGCCTTCATTTTACATGCTGCCATTATTTCCAACTGCAAAAAAATATGAAGTAGCATTAGCCATGATTAAATTTACACGTTATTTAAAAAAAAAAAAAAAAAATGCTAAGTGTGGCCTATGGAAAATTAAACACATCTCAAAAAGGTCAGGTCCTCGTTGAATTAGCTTTAAACTGTGCAAGCTCAATGTATAGACAAAATAAGATTCTCTTTCATTCAAAACATGGGTTGCCAGATATTTTAGAACTACTGCATCTAGGATGCTTTGTGCCATTCTTAAAGATGTAACATGAAGAATTAAGCTTCCCAGCTCAATCTTTAGCAATTTGTTTTAGTAAACATTTATACTATATTTTGGGTGGGAAAGAATCTTTACTAAACATGATCATGTATTTTTATTGTCCGGTATTGTTTATGATAGGGATGTTGACTGTTAACTGTTGCAAACATGGTCCAGCTGTTGGAATACATTTTAAATCATCGGTATTAAACACAGACACAAACCTCTCTCTTCCACAGCGGTTGGGAGGTTATATAAGGTCTCCTCAGAAGACTGGATAATTTTCTTTGGTCAAAGGCAGTTAATGGAATCAGAGCAGTAGAGGGAATGTTTAACCTATAATAATGTTATATAAAGGGACAATTAACACATTTTATGCATTAAAGGACACCCAAGGCACTTAACGTGCAATAATGTATTGTAATATCCCTGGATGGGGCCAAAATTGTGCAATAGCTATAACATTTACTTGCATCTCACCACCAGCCTATTAATTGCAGCTTCTAAAAATAACTGGTGCGAAAAATACATTCATATAGGGGAATGAGGTTTAAGGGAAATTTATATTTTTCCATAGGCTTAAATAAAAAAAATAAAAAATAAACACTTGTGCAAGTTAATGGGAAAAGGGGCTTCCATTCACTTTGTATGAGGGCTTCTCATTACCTTTTTTTTTTTTTTTTTAAGCAAGTGCATCTATTTCTGTATCTTATGTATGACTTTCTGTACATATAACATGATCTGGTGTAGCAGAGACCCTGACACCCTTGCACAATCAGCTGGTCCTGAAGATTTATAAATAAAAATCAGCATGTGCAGGATTAAAACGCCAAAAGTTACTGCACCAGATACATGATCTATTTGTTATGTAACTCTGTTTTCCCATGAAGTTGGTGCTCACCTCTCTAGGTCAGATGGAAGCACGCCAAGCCACGAGATAGAAGGCACAGTCAGGTGATGGGCCTCAAATGACATGGACTAGAAGGAAAACAGGACACAATGGATGAAAATCACAGGGTTTAAGGAGGACCAAGATGGGGAAGTCAAACTGTGACATAATTCACAGATTATTGGGGTAGTGAAATTAAATCGGTTTTCAAAAATGCAAAAAACAAAACCATTGTAAGTTTGATAGAACACATTTACTCACCAGAGATCCGTACTTGCAGGTACACATTATTTCGATGCCTAGAAAACGAGAGGAGATTTTATAGCTTTGATTAGAACACTCGGTATCTGCATGCCATTGCACTGAACTGGCACATGCTCTCTCCCCTGGTCTGAATGTACAGTCTGAAGAAAATGACTCATGCAGAAGTGTATCATTTGTAAACTTCACAATAACCACTAGAGATCTGGTTCTCATTTAGGTGATTACCCAGTGAATCAAGGTCATAAATGCTATAAACCAAAGCCTGTTTAACCCGTTTAGCAAAGACCGTCAAGCAGTGTCATCCAAGGGGTTCATTATTTTCATTCGTCCTATAAGGCAGGACAATGTTTACATACATTCGTGACCTATTAAAATATTATATATCTCCTTTCAGCACAATAAAAGTGTCCTTACCACTTTCAACATACTGGACGTCCAATACCGGGCCCCATGAGCTGGGTGTTTCTCTCAGTACAATGCTGGCTGCCCATGATGTATGTTTGACATTCGCAGTGCTGTGGTTACCTGACCCTATCCATGTCATGGCTGAGCGTGCTATGACTGCTTAATATAGTTTTATACCATGTCATCACTCTGCATTATTATGTTAATTATCTATGGTGCCAACACTTTTCCTTTGATGGCATTTACAGACAGCAAAACTCTTCAGAAAATGTTACGCTGCACTTTTGAATACGCTGCTCAGGTTTTGGAATTTTAATCCATGAAGTGTTGTATTTTTTATGGTTTCTGATCGACATGGATTGGATCTATTAACTAATTCTATCCGTCCTGGGAAGCTCTGACTCCTATCGGCAGTGATCATGTAACAGTGACTGTCAGTGCCAATAAGGCGTTTGATTACCTGTCTGGAAAACAATCTGGACTGAGAAAAAAAATATTTTCCCCTTAAAGTAAAAGAAAAACATAAACACTAAAATATGATTTTACTTTATATGTTTATATTACTTCAACTTCCATTCTTGTGACAGGATACATTATTACCATGTGGGTCTGCATCAACGAGAGTGAAAATAGGAATATGAAAATGATCCCACAGCTTCCGTGTTAAACGCCTGGTGTTCACATCTGGAAATCCCTTTCCCTGCATAAAGATACAAAACATAGGCTTTCATGCACTTGTTGCACATATAGGAAACATGTTCATGTTACTTTGTATAAACATAGTATTTGGTGTAAGTATCTCTGCATGCGAATATGCCACCTCCTTCAAAGTTAATATTAAATATACTGCTGGGGGAACGCAGATGGGATTAGATGGAAACGCACTTGAACTGGGTGGGGATAACATCTGGCAATTCCTACTTGTATTCACTTGACCCACTGAAGGAACAATCAAGCACCACAACCACTACAGCTCACTGTAGCGGTTATTGTGTCAGGGGTGCCTTGTGCTCTCCTAGGTTGCGTAGTCAAGCTGTTTGCTAGCAGTTTGACAGCTTATCTGGGTTCCACTGATGCTGTTGGATGCTGCTGCACTGACCTAAGCCTGGCTGTACAGGTGCTCTCAGACAGTGAACCAGTCATGGCCGGCAGGGCTTAGCTCAGTGGAGCTAACAGAATCTCCGAGCAGGAGCTTCCAACTCCAGAAGAGGCTGTGACTGTTGGAGGACCCCAAGGTAAGTTGCCAACGCGTTCATAACCAGTTTGACTACTTACCCTGGGAGGGTGCTGAAGCACATCTGACACCATAACTATTACACCACAGACTGTTGTGGTTATGGTGCTTGGAGAGTGCCTTTAAACATTCAAAAGATACATAACTGACAAATAAACCAGAGATGAATTTGGGCCTATTAGAGCAAACAATTTAATCTTACCGTGATGAGAATGCATGGTCCAAACCTGGTACAGAATTCGTCATCGAGAAGCCTCTGAAATGTTGCATCCTTTTCGATAATCAGGATAAATTTTGCTTGTGAGCGCATGTCTCTTTGCATTAAGAATCAAACCTTTGATCTCTGGTGACTTACAATTATTAACTTTTCATGCCAGCATCACATTTAAAAGAAACTATCACATTTATTTTAATTCTTCCAAACCCTGCCCTCAATATACACAACCAATCCAGACTCTAGGCATTTCTCGATTTCTCAGTTCCAAAGCAAATACGGACAAAATCTAGTCTGTTGGTGTGTCTTGAGAAGTGAGCTGTAAATCACTGATCTTTAGGATGTCTTCCATGATAAATAATTTCCTTTAGCAATATGTAAATTTGACATGCTTACTGCTGTTTAAGCTCACAGGTCAAACACGTTTTGAAAGGTGAAGCAACAGTGGTAAATCTGTAAAGTCATTTAAATTTAATTATAATAACATCAAAGTGTTTAACACTCTGGGTTTTAGAAATGTTGTTTATATAACATACTTGTACTCTTTTAACAGACTCGTAATGATGAAATACTATCTAGAACAGGGCTTGACAAATTTGTTTGGAATCTAGGAGCCAGCTGAAAAAGTTAGGAGCCAGGTTTTTTTTTTAAACTAACGAAGTTTAATTAATGAGAAATATACAATTCTTAAAGAAACATCAGTCACCAGAACCACTACAGCTTAATATAGTTGTTCTGGTGCCTATAGCCAGTCCCTGTAGCCCTTTCAATGTAAATGCTGCCTTTTTATAGAGAAAATGCAGTGTTTACATTGCTGCCTAGTAGCACCTCTAGTGACAGTCACTCAGAAGGCCACTAGAGAGTCCTGTGTCAGTGCTGCAGAGTGCACAGTGTGCAGCACCTTTGTTCAGCGTCTCCACACTATGCACGCAGGTGCTGAATGTTACCCATAGAGAACATGCACAATATATTCCCAATGCTTTCCTACGGGAAAGCACAGATTTAGCTGAGATCTTAAAGAATGATTTTCTCAGCTATGAAGGCAGGACAAGCTGCTGAAAACTGGCACGGCGTGGGAAAGAAGGTGGGTTAAAACACCCTCTCATGATCGTAGGGGTGCAGGTACCCAAACACACACACACTGACAGAGACACACACACAAACTGACAGACACACTGACAGAGAGAGATACACACACACACTGACATACACACACACACACACAAACTGACAGACACACTGACAGAGAGATACACACACACACACACACTGACATACACACACACATACACAAATTGACATTTTCCATTTTAATCCACCCAGCCTCCCTACCTGGGAGAGCTGAGTGGACTTTCCCTGGGTTCCAGTGGAGTTGCTCGCTCATCCTGCGTGTGAGGGAGCTGTGATTTCATATTCCGGTTCCCGGTATCACTATACAGCAAGAGTGAGCAGACAGGAACTACAGGAAGATTACTACTCCCTCCCGCGTGGCCCAAGCCTGCTGCCTGCACCACCTCCCAGGACGGCCACCTGCACACTCCTCAGGGCAGCCGCCTGCATGCTCACTGAGCCGACCGGCCGGCCCCATTGTTCCCCCATCCTGCCTTTAGCTAAAGGGCTGCAAATCCCAGATGCCAGGGCAAAATTTCAAGTCGCCTTGGTGACCTGGTGCCTGGGATTTGTCGAACCCTGATCTAGAATGCCCCATACATGCCTTTTCAGAAGAATTGTGATGTCAGAACGCTGTGTTGGCAAATTAAATAAAATATATATTATTATTATTGCCATTTATATAGCGCCAACAGATTCCGTAGCGCTTTACAATATTATGAGAGGGGGGATTTAACTATAAATAGGACAATTACAAGAAAACTTACAGGAACGATAGGTTGAAGAGGACCCTGCTCAAACGAGCTTACATTCTATAGGAGGTGGGGTCTAAGACACGTTAGGACAGGAAATATCAAATAGGGTGGGAGTGAAGCAGAGCTGGAGGAGGGGGTAGAGTGCTGCCCTATAGGAGAGAGCAAAGCCCCATCATAATTGTCAGCACCAGGCCCACTGGGCTCTTAATCTGGCCCTGCCTTCAGAGTGTGCCTATACACACTACTTTCCCATATATAAAACATACTCCAGAATAGACACATACTAGCTCCCAGAGCCACCCTAACCTTAATACACAGAACACTATCAAGGATATAGTTTGGTCAGACCATGCTCCAAATATAATAACAATCTCAGAACAATTTACAACCAGGGGACACGCGCCATGGTGCCTTGATGAATCAATGTTACAGTATGACGGCTTTCGGGAAAAGATTGATTTAACAGCATTGAAGACACAACCCCTATTGCTTAGTGGCAAGCTCACAAAGCCGTGATGCGAGGACTCTTTTTGAGCCGTACATCCTTTCTCAAAATATCCCAAGCCAAATATACACAATTACTACGTGACTTGAGAGCTGCCACGCTCAAGCATTATATACGGCCCAAAAACACTTTACGAGTTACTATTGATAGCATATGCAAACAACTAAATGACATATCCATGAAGAAAACTGCACACCTATTACAACAGCTGAAAACGAGACACTACACCCAAAACAATAAGTCACTCAAATTGTTAGCAGTGCAACTGCGGCAAAAAAGGTCACACTCTAAAATCCCATACATAATCACAGCAACAGGGGAAAAACTCTACAATCCCCAAGACATTATTAGCAACCTAGCAACCTACTATACAAACCTTTACAACCTCCAAACAGATACGTCGCTACACCAACCGACAGGACTCGAGAAAGATGGCTGTCTGGGGTCTCTTTGCCTCCCCTTTCCCAAAAAAACAAGACCAAACTGCAAACCCTGCTAACAGAAACAGAAATCATGGATGTTATATGAGGACTACCACAGGGAAAATCCCAGGCCCAGACAGTTTCTCGAACCAATACTATAAAATGTTCGGGACCACCCTCTCCCCACATTTGCTAGCAACATTCCAACATATGATCTCTATGACAAATGCCTCATCTGACATGCTAACTGCTCACATCACGACTCTTCCCAAACCGTGGAAAACACCAGACAGAGGACAGAATTTGCGTCCTCTATAAATATTAAATACCGATATTAAGATTTTCGCAAAAATATTTGCGAACAGGCTGGCCTCAATACTCCCCACAATTATCAATGATGATCATATGAGGGAGACAGAAGGGTGAATGAACCAGAAAGGTTCTGAACCTGCTTCATACGCTGCATGGAGGGGGAGACAGTGTATTGCTCCACAAATGTTCATGGCGGTGGTCGGTACCTTATAAAGTAACCCAGTAGCAAAGGTGGTCAACAGCGGGTTTACCTCTACTATTCTGGAGAGATCGGGTATAAAGTATAAAAATGCATGATCAGAAATACAAACTCACGCTTTTTGCGGATGATGTCCTCCTCACTATGACCAAACCACACATCTCCCTACCGGCATTCACCACACTGCTACGCCACTACAGCTCATGTTACAAATTGAATGTACACAAAACACAGGCCATGGGGATCAGTATCCCAAAGGGGAGAATATGGAAATGAAAAAATAACACCCCTTTGATTGGAGAACAGATAATCTAACTTTCTTAGGTATTACATTTACACAGCACACACAACACCTATATAAATAATCTAAAACGTCAAGCAGACATCAAAGACAAAGAGATCATGGCAGGGGAAATTCCTCTCCTGGTCGGGACGCATTGCTGCGATCAAAATGGTTATTATTCCCAAATTGCAGTATCTTTACCGAACGCTAACAATTGCCATCCCAGCCTCCTACCTCAAGAATACCCAAAAAATTATAAACAACTTCATATGGGCAAACAAAATCCCACAAATAGCTGCACATACACTCAAAAACAAATTCACCCATTCAGGACTGAACCTCCCCAATATAAAATTTTACCACCAAGCGACAATTATTAGCTCCATAGTGCCGGCACAAACACAACACCACCCGCCACAATGGGTATGCATGGAACACGTAGCTTCGCAGGGGCATACCATCTTGACATTACTATAGTTACCAAAACACCTCAGACCAAAAAAGGTTCCAATGCTACCTACAACTGCCTCGACCATCAATATATGGGACACTTGTAGACATATACATAGCACTCAAGGCCCATACACGCTAGCCATGCCAATCTCGGCACTGAGATGTACCATCTCAGACTTCAACCATAAAATATGGGATAGGCACCATATCAGGTTTCTGTCTCAACTGTTCCAAAGTAATACTCTTATTGATTTTCGCACCTTACAAGACAAGTATAATCTCCCATCGATAGCACATTTCTCGTATAGGCAAATACAATCGTGGATTCAGGGACAACATAAACACAGAAAGGAAATTGTACATGAGCAGCAGCTGACAAGCTTCGAAAAAAATCTTGGTAAATCAAAAACCGTCAATTAAACTGATTTCTCTACTTTATTCGATAGATTACAATTGTACCGAAAAACACAAATTTGCCCTAGCAAAGGAAAAAGACCCAAACCACTCGCTTCCAGACTCCACTTGGAAACAAATATTTACAGCATACAAACAGTTAACACTATGCACCAACCACATTGAGCTCTCCAGGAAAATACTCTACAGATGGTACCTGGTACCAGCCCGTCTTAAGAATATTTATCCAGATGCGTCCGGTACTTGCTGGAGATGTGGAACAGAGCAAGACACAATGCTCCACATTTGGTGGCACTGTACAAAACTACAGCAGTTTTGGGTAGAAGTAGCACAACTTATAAACACAAGCCTCGGAATTACTATTCCACACACACTAGAATGTCTCCTGTTACAAAACTACCCACTGAAGTTTTCCTTTACAACCAGGTACTTAATATACCACATTAATATAGTCGCACTCACAATACTTAGCAGACACTGGCGTAACGAAAAAGTGCCCGACATATAACAATGTATACACCTTGTTAACACAAATAAAATATATGAAAGCTTTCTTAGAGCAAACACTGGGAAAAAACAAACATAGATATAAACAAGCATGGGAAATATGGGACGAAGCACACAATACTTTAAACACTGGTCATACTCCAGGAATGCAACTCATCACTGACAACTGATGGTTCTCCTTTTTCCATTCCCCCCCCATTTGTTCCTTTTTTAAATAAAAAAAAATAATTTAAAAAATTGAGAAGACTCGCCAGCTGCACTCATAGAGGGATATTAATGTACGATTACGAATGATGTCATGAAGCCTGAATACCATGTCAATAACATATCAATAAAATGTCAATAACGTGTCTATATTCGCAATCGTGGTACTGAATGTATAGCTCATAAGGTAACATACATATGTTGTACAATATAGAAGTTATTACACACGAAGGAACTGTGAATGTCGACGATCAATTACACCACCTCTATAGATGGGTTTGACGTATGATGCAAACTTGGATTGGTACTCATGAACCGACAAAGCTACAACCCACTAGAATCCTTCCCAAAACAAAACTCCCTCAACCCTCTCGCTGTTAATGTTATTGGTTATGTTCGATTTCACAATATTCTGTTTCAATGCATGCGAACCAGCGACTCACGCACGAACTTAAAATGCTCACAAACATGTCTGTTCAACCATGATATCTCTGTAATCATTGTGGAATTTCTTTTTAAAATGCATAATAAAAAAAAAAAGAAAAAAAAGAAAAAGAAATTAGCACTTTTTGTAAAATAAAAAAGAATGTACTCTCCACACATAAATGAGGAAAAAGATTTGCAAACACCTGGGATGCTATGGATAGCCTTAAACAGACAACGTGTTGTTATTTATTTCTTTACAGTTTGTTAGGATAAATAACAGATTTCACACTTCCTGGCTTGAATCCATAGTATATGTGTTGCCTATCTAAGTCAGATTACTGTCTCATAATTTTTTTCAAACAAGAAAATTAGAGACCCTCTGAGGGCCAGTATTAGACAAAACATTTTTTATTTTGACAGTTCTTAATCCTGAAGGGGTTAAAACGACAGAAAATGCGCAGACTGGCAGACGGATATTTGGAGCTTTGTGTTCACAAATCATCACATCTTATGACTGGTTTCATTAACGGATTTATTTATTTTTAAAGTACACCATGTAACCCTTCATTACACCGGTCTATCAGCCCTCTGCCCAGGCTGAATTCTCAGCTTGTATTTTCCATTTTTTGTGTTTGGTGCTAAAGAATAATAAAATACAGCAACATCAGTACAGCTGATCAATCATTTCCAGTTTAATCACTTTAAGGATACTTGTGATTCCTTCAATGTTAGATGGTACCAACACTCCCTGAAAAAAAAAAATACAAATAATGCATCATGTGTGGATTCCAGTGATCTCTCTGTGACTGTCCTAGCATATATGTCATTGTCTTCATTGTACCACATGGCAGTAGGCAAATATATTGCATTCTTTCTTTACCCCACCTCAATTAGCAGAAAACAAGAATAGAAGAAATATCAACCAATTATAATTTAGGAAAAATATATAATAGGAGAAGCACGTGGAATCACTTTCCCTTTCTATGCTGGTGCCTCCGACAGATCAGAATATGCTCTCCCTTTAGGGTTAAATGTGATACTCTATGTTTTATTATATCAAGTGCTAAATTATATACTGATTTATCTCTACCCTTTACACCTTTTGTTTCCCCCCCTTTCTGTCCCCCCACCCCCTGTTCATTAGATTGGGGCCCTTTTTGGTTACCAAAGGGTTTCTTCTGACACAAGTTTTCTTTTCCCCATTTATAGACCTTGCCTACAATGGACTGGGACAATTTCAGCAAGCACGTGGTTCTGTGGCTTCCTTCGCTACTCTTGGTCCATTATCAGTTGGCGTCGGTCATGCTATAGGTGCTGGTCCCGTGGTCATCTTATTGCTCACGTCTCCTGGCTATCTTGGTGCTCATGTGTGGTTAGAGCAATGGTTTTCAAACCAGTCCAGGATTTAGGGATTACCCAGTTGTGTCAAGGTGTTTTTTTTTTCTCCTTTCTAAAAACACCTTGTACACAACCAGTTAATCACTGAAACCTGTCCTAGTAGGTGTGCCTTGAGGGCTGGTTTGAAAACCTCCGGGTTAGAGGCAGCCATCGTATTTCGTCAGCTCTGCTAAATAAGGAGTGCTCTCACATTGAGTGGATTCTCTCACTGGGGTCAGCCCCCACTAAAGGTGCATACTGGAGTAAGTTCAGTGAGTGAGCCTACACACTAACAAAAGTACTGTAAGCTTTTTGGGGTGAGCCCACATTTTGCCCATACAATCATTGAACTCTTTCAGAGGTTTTACCTGATTGATCATTTGTGCCAATTTCATATTCAGGATTATGGAGGAATCTCTAACACACTCTGGGGATGTGCAAGCACTCATCACTGCAGCAGTGGAAAGGGCCTAGCCAAGGTGTTCCCCTAAATGCGCACCGAACCAGTGGCACCTCCAACTCCCACTCCTGAATTCCACTCTGCCGGTCCAGGATTTAGTACTGTTGCTTTTTTGGATGAACTGGCTCCAGTGATAGCTAAAAGACCAGGAAGGCCTCTCTTTGATCCGCAAAGGTGCAATGCAACAAGCTCAAAACTCAGGTGGATTTTTCAGCAACAGACTGGAGAGTTTCGACCGGTAATTGACTAGCAGGCGCTTAATGTGTTCGTGAATTAACACCATTTCAAGATGGAAGGGATCCATCTATTAAAGGTCATATTAACAGAGGGAGACTGGTTCACTCGCTTAGATCTCAAAGATGCCTACCTATCTGTTCCCATACATCCAGTAAGTCTCAGATTTATCTGATTTTGGTGGAAGGATGCCACCTGGCAGTTCACATGCCTCCTCTCCAGGCTGACTTCGGCCCCATGGTGCTTCACCAAGCTCTATGAACCGATAATGGAACATTTACAATACCTGGGCATAAGATGTATAGTCTATCTGGATGACATCCTACTCTTTAGAAAAGATCCTCAACTTCTTCAGGCTCAAACCAGTTACACCACAAACTCTTTATAGGGGTTGGGGTTCGTGGCCAACACGGACAAGTCTGCCCTGTCTCTGATACAGTCAATACAATTTCTAAGATTCAAAATATACTGTTTCCTGTGTACTGAAATTGCCTCACAAAAATATAGTCAAAATATGTCAAGAAATATGATTGGTGTTAGTAGTTAGCAGGTTGCGGCAATGTAATGTTGTGAAACGTCCTATTGCTGCTTTGACATGTGCCCATGTTTATGGGTGTAAATGCAGTCACCTATATTTTTAGCAATCCACCAGTTACTCACTGTTGAACTCCCACTGCAGTTCACTCTTGTTCCGTCTTCCTCCGTAAACCACAAATCTCCACTAAGACATCCCTTAGACGTAGTAAGCTGGCAAAAGACAATGTCAGACAGCTAAACAGTCTTGCTACAAGGTGATCAGGTTTATTCAATAAATTGTGTTTAATATTTAGCAAAGAATTACTGAACTAGGAAAGTTGGAGACTTTATCCTTCCAGGTTATTTTGGCCTGATTTCTTTTTAATTTGCCCTTTAACTCCACTGTTTAGTGATAAAACATTTTTGTATATTTTAATTGTTTGTGCTCCTACTCTCCCATAATGAGCAGCGTCTATGTTAGGAAATCTCAGATACACTTAAAATGTGTTGTAAAATGTAAAGAACGAAATTATCTGTTACAATAGGTACGTTAGTCCAATGACAAAGATGCAAACTAACAACAATATTGCACCTACCTTTATTATACTGGACCTACAGAGTTTTGAATTAAATAAGTATTTAGATTCAAAGGGACATGTCACAGAAATTTTAGAAAGCAATTTAGGTAATATACCCTCAAAGAAAACATTCATGTATTTTTTTCTGCATATTTTATTTTGGGGGTATATGAAAAAAAGCAATTTGCAAAAGTCTGCAGCCTTCATAAACCCTCCCCTCTTTTCCTGACAAACGTTCAGTCTGTGCCAGAGAATTTAAGAATCAAAGCCTTCTCATTGCATACCATACGAGCGTGCATACCATCACAGCTATCCTATGCTTCTCAATACACTGTAGTAAAGCTCATTGAGAAGCAGGGTAGGCAGGCACATCCTAGCACAGTGCGCCTTCTGCTAGCTTTGTGATGCTCTCCCTTTATAAATATTCACTAATATAGCAGACTCCAGCAAGTTCTTTATAGTGTCTGGAGTGTTCCTTTCAGAATACCCCAAGAACCACTACCACTTCATCCCACTGGATTCTACTGGACACCCATGCCACTTCCCTTTTTCTTGAGTAGGAGAAGCCGAATGCCGATATAAGCACGCATTCTGTTGCGTGTCAGATGGGTGTTCTCAGCCATGAAATGAGTCTACACTGAAAAAAGGCTAGTCCATCAAGTTCAACCTTGATCCCTAATCTTTTATGCTGTTCATCTAAAAGAAGTCAAAATTGTAGTCATTTCCACAAAAAAAGGGGGTGGGGGATCCTTCTTGACTTCATATTGGCAATCAGATTTCTCATTGGATCAACAACCTGTTCACATACAAATCAACTGTATCCTAGAATAATCTGGGGGGTGGGGCTTAGCACCCAGGCTTTAAAAAAAATATATATCTATAAAATTATTTAGTAACTATATTGAACATAGTTGACATCCGGCTTTTCCAGCTCAGAGAAAAGCTGACACCCAGAACGCACAGCCAAATGTCAAACTGTGCTAAAATGGTTTGACAGATGATGATAGAATGGTGCCAGGGCACAGAAAGCTGTAATGGTCATTGTACTTTTAAAGTTTCCTTTCAAAAATAAATAATCTTCTGAAAACATGTTTCAAAACTCTACTAATTCTATAAGATTAGATCACAAGATACTGCAATTTAAATAGATTTCTTGTTACCAAAACCTACAATATGTAAGCTTATTCTTGGGATCTTCAGCATACAGGAAACATCATTAATTATGTTGTCCACCACGATCTGGCTGCCGTAAAGCTGCACATCGTTGTAATATATATCCCTGAGGAGAAGATAACTTGTTACTGTGCTCAGACAACATCAGGAAATCCTTATTCCATGGTCATGCTACCTGTGGCCATTTAGAAATACAAATCCCACAATTCCCTGCAAGCCATACTTATGGTATTTAAAGAAAAGCAGGGATTGCTGGGAACTGTGAGTCATGTGATTAAGAAACACTTAATGTTTAATGGTTCAGGCTTGTAACTGTTAAAATTATTAGTCAGAATAGCCATGAAAGTTGTGTATTTTTACATGAGTATTTTTATTACAATGTCAAGCTGAGAAGCATGTTAATGTCCTATGTGTACTTCTGCACGTAGTGGCCCTCTATGTGCTCCCGCTGTTGGTACAGTATATATATATATATAAGCAGGGAATGTAGCAGTATGTGATTTAGAGGTGTGATGCTTTATGAATCCCTGAATGGATACCAAAGACTGGACTAGATAGCAGATGAGGTACAATGAACTGTAAACACCCACTGTTTATTATTACTGGCATTGATATAGCGCAAGCTTTCCAATTATATAGACGAGAAAATTTAACAAGAATGAATCCCATTGTAAAGTGCTACGGAATTTGCTGGCGCTATATAAACAATAAAAATAATAATAACGAGACAAATTATTACACCTTTTGACAATAGGTTGATGAGGACCCTGCTTGAACGAGCTTACAATCTAGAGGAGAAAATGATATAATATAGGGTTTCTGGTGACATTAAGGTATATAGTATAGCTTCAGGATTTAATTTCGAATGGCGTCTCTTAATAAAGTGACAACTTTAATTTCACTCCAGATGTTTCTGAACTACATTCCCTATAATACTCCATGTTAGCTGCCCTTGGTGAAACAACGTAAGCAGGAGTCATATCTTCAATGTCTAATGCTTTCATATATATTTCTGCACAGTTCTACAAACTTCTGTATAATTACAATTATTCTGTTGATTTTGGGGAAAGAAAATGAAACCATTTACAAATATAGTGATATTTATTTAGAATTAATGACATTTACCTCTTGGTGGCGTATGTGTTACTTTGCACCAGTTTGTGGATGACTGAGAGGATCTTTATTATCAGGGCTGCACAAATAAAAAGAAAAAAATATAGTGATTTATGGCAAGTCTCAGAAACCTACATTTCACAGAGGTACCGACATATTTAAGGCTGGGCCTGTAGTTGTGGGAGGACGCTCTTCTGGTTTTCCCCATGCCCTGTTCACGTTTCGTGAGTTTTGGGTCGCTTGGTTGCGCCTTTGTGATGGTCGCTGGTGTCTTCCGTGCTCTGGTTGCCAGGTCTCTGTTCCTTCTCCGGCATCACCTGCTGGTTCTAGGTTGTTTTCCTATGCCCTCCTTAGTTTTCCTTTTCTATGGTTCAGGCTCTGGTCGTTTCTCTGGGTGGCATGCTTTGTCCAACCGAGGTCCTGCCGGGAAGCTCATCCTTCTTAGCAGCGTTTGCCTTTCCTGCCTTGTGTCCACCAGGGGGGTAGGTCATTTTTACTTATTCCGGTCCACACTGTAGCATACGTTCTCAGTCATCTTTCTACATGGGTCCACGATCGGGCCCTCGTAGAGAGACATACGTGCTCAGTCACTATTCTAAATGGATCCACGAAATGGCTGGGTCCTTGACCTGGCCCACGCTGAGGTCCCCTATTAGCAGATAGTACTGGTTGTTAGGGATCTAGGTTCCCACTATGATAGGTTTCTGGCCTCTATGCCATAGCCTAGTGGTCCCGAGAGGCCAACACCCATCCTCTTGCTCGGAGGACGACGCCATCGGCCCACCGCATAGTTATTTGCCTTGCATTGTTGCATAGGGAGGGCCTCATCTGTAAACTTCCATTCTATCTTATGCTTTAGTAGTCACTGAGAGGCCATCACCCCACCACACGCGTCTCGGTGGCCTCTACCTCCCCTCAGGCCAACGCATAGATAGAGCCTCTCATGCCGCTTGGCAACTAGCAGGGCCTCACCTGTCACCCTCATTAGTGAAATTATTTGCCACTTGGCATTACGTAGCCTGCCGGTAAGTTATAAGGATCAAACTAATGATGGCTTTGTATAAATCGTATGCCTCGAGTTCCCAAGTCACTGGGGGCGCTGTTTCTACCCAACACCTCTGCTAGGTCTGGTGCGCCATCTCGCAGAGTATACACAGTTAGTCCGGCATCCCTTAGAGCTGGGACTACTCCACGAATCACGGTCCGACTCGGCAACCGCGGGCATGGGACGCTGGCAATCATCCTCTTATACATTATCTATACTGGAACCGGTTAGGGATTTGTCAGGCATATCGTGACTTCTCCAAGTAATTTTAAGGTATTGTAGAACAAATATATATTTGTATGTTACACTTATTTTTGCCCTCTTTATTACAAGCCTACTGCTTCGTCGGTTCCGGCACACCACAACCGGTGCTATTGACTGATAAAGATGTTTATTGCTTATTATGTGTTATCTAACTATTACGGCAAAAAATTTAAGGCTGGGCCTGTAGTTGTGGGAGGGGCTTGAGTCCCCTTTATAAGGGCATCCAATCCTCTCCCACTTTACCGTGGTTGGCCGGGCGAGTTACCCACCACTCCCTTTATTCACATCACCCTCTAAGGTGGGCCCTCTTTATTACAGGCCTACTGCATTGTCGGTTCCGGCACACCACAACTGACCGGTGCTATTGACTAAGATGTTTATTGCTAATTATGTGTTACGGCAAAATTGCCCCGACCACAAATAATATATTCCATTTAGATCCTGAGCAGATGGCATTTAGGATTGAAATAGATTGACTATATCTATGTAAAAGTTAAACTGGTCCTGTTTTTGAAGTTGCTAAGAACAGAGGCAAACAGAAAGAACAAGGCTGAGTCCGTTATATCCGTCACCCACCAGGTCATTAACATTAAATTTTGGTGATTTACACAAACATATTAAAACATCTGCTGAATTTAACAATCACTGCCCTATCACGTAGTCTAGTCTGTAATAAATCAGTTTGTGTGTATATATATATATATATATATATATATATATATATATATATATATATATATATATTTCCATTTTGATCCATAGGATACAGTAAATCATTAGCAGATAAAACACAAAAATAAATGAATTATGTGTCCTCACCAAACCTTTGTGCAGACCTTGGACTGTCACTTTTCACCTTTAAGGTGGTGCAACGTTTCACCATCTGTAATCCGACTGCATCGTTAAACCTGTTAGTAAAGAGTTATTTTACTGCCATTTGAAGAGCAGCCATCCCCACCTAGTTAACCTAAAGGCCAGAACAGACCTGCCTCGTTGGCTACATTTTCTCAGAAGATGAGGAGTTCCACGTGATATGTAGCAGTAAGTAGAATTCACGTTGCCAGAGGAATTCTATTGATCATAAGTATCCCATAGGAACTGACATGGTTAGTGAACTGATTTCCTCAGGTACTCTTTGAATTTTACTCACTGATGGGGATCGCTATTCATGTAGTTCCCAACAACTACTCATGGATGGCAGCTATTGTCTAGAACCAAACAACTTTGATTGCCAGATAAATTACTAATGGTTCTGCTACCTGGTGTTTACAAACATTAAGTACCAGACCTTTATTAATGTCATACTTACTCCACATTACCCCAGCTTGATCTGTTGTCCAGTGTGAGTACTGGGGCTTGGTTTTTGGAAAGGCTCTCCAACACTTCATGGATAATTTTCTCGATTGCTGCGAGTACCTGAGGGCTGACATAATTCAATGTGTATAACAGCAGCAGTCTGACAGTGTACATCAGCTGCTATTAGTTTATATAAAGTCTGCTGCACAGCTTAGTCAACTAGACTGCTTACATTGCCGTGACCCCGCTTGCTCTGTGAAGTGATACAGACAATTCTACCTCTGGTTGCCAGTCTTCTAGCTGCAGCTATTTTACAAATCACCGCAGTTACAAGCCATTAAAGTGCTGAGAGTGGGTGCATATCCCTGCATTGGTCAGTTCACTCAGCGATCCTGTGATGCTTGAAGACGTAGTGCGTAGGAGAGATTTATCATTTCTAGGACTTTTTAATGACACTAATAATAAAATTGACAGTATTTTCCACTTTTCAATTATTTTTTAAAGTTTGTTGCATTACTTTTTGTGTAGTGAATTCCAGAAATGCATTCTGTTTTCTAATGCTTGCTTATATTATTTTTTATCTTGGCACAGAAATTGAAGCAGAATACACACAAAATAGTCATACCATATTCTTTAAGTTAAAGGACCACTATAGTGCCAGGAAAACATACTCTTTTTCCTGGCACTATAGTGCCCTGAGGGTGCCCCCACCCTCAGGGTCCCCCTCCCGCCCGGCTCTGGAAGGGGGAAAGGGGTTAAAACGTACCTTTTTCCAGCGCTGGGCGGAGAGCTCTCCTCCTCCGATCCTCCTTCTCTCCTCCCGTCGGCTGAATGCGCGGCGGCAAGAGCAGCGCGCATTCAGCGGTCACATAGGAAAGCATTCATAATGCTTTCCTATGGACGCTGGCGTGCTCTCACTGTGAAAATCACAGTGAGAAGCACGCAAGCGCCTCTAGCGGCTGTCAATGAGACAGCCGCTAGAGGAAATAGGGGAAGGCTTAACCCATTCATAAACATAGCAGTTTCTCTGAAACTGCTATGTTTATGAAAAAATGGGTTAACCCTAGCTGCACCAGGCACCCAGACCACCTCATTAAGCTGAAGTGGTCTGGGTGCCTAGAGTGGTCCTTTAATGGTACATAATGGCTGAAGCATTAAAAAAACTCATAATATACAAAAAAATGGCAAAACTGCTCAGACTCCTTTTTAAGATTGCTTAATCATGCACAAATACCTTTTAGCAGGTATGAAAGGATCCAATTCATTTAATTTGTGCCCAAACAAACTCCTCAATCCTGGATTTACCTGGAGTCTTATTCAAAGAGTGCAGATTAAAGGGTTTTGATTCATTCACGCCAGCTGTAAAGCAGGCCTTTTGGGGTAGTCTATATTTCAAACATACTTTTGGGATTCCATATTCCAGGGTCATTGTATCAGCCTACACTTCCAGAGAATTAATACAGAGCCAGTAAATTAAGGCTCTGTTTATACCAGGGTTGGCCTAAAGGTAAACCCGCCCCAGGGTTTGCAGTACTACACGTGGTGGTAAATATAAATGTACAGAAGACAGAATTCTTGCCCAGGTAAAAAAAAGAAAAGTACAAAAATGAAACCGAGACGGGAATGATGTGCTAATATGTGTATCTTGCCTGGTGATTGATTCCTGGTGAGCAGGGGATGATTTGGAAAGTTGTTCTTCATTGATCTCCACATTCAGCAACAAGGATGTCCTGTGCTGCTCCATACAACGATAAAAGTCAGGAGAGTGCGGATAGGCCATGTCTGGACAAGACAAAAAGCAATGCAGAGTAACAATGTAACTGGAACAGATTTACAGGTGTCAGAACATAAGGGACTGCACAAGAAGCAGCTGCAAACCAAGCACTGGAAGACATAAAGATACAACTTTGAATAGTATATGTGGAACTGCACTCACTCCCACAAATCTGAGCCAGGGTGCTTGCTGAGCCGGAATCAAACACCAGATTTCCAAACATTGGTAAAGTAAGAGAAGTCCAGGCACTCCTTGGTTCAAGACAGGCACTTTATTAGGAACTGTTGTGGTTCCTAATAAAGTGCCTTTCTTGAACCAAGGAGTGCCTGGACTTCTCTTACTTTAATAAAGATACAACTGTCTGCTATGGTAATTATAGGAAAGATCTAAGCCATTATGGGCATATGTGAAAAAGATATTGTTTTACAATAAATCCTTCATTGAACATTCCAAAGAGAAGATGGAGACATTAAGCAGGAGGACGACATTCTACCCATAGTTTTTGTTTCTGAGAAATTTAGGCACAGTTTGGGTGCCCATTTGCCAAACTCTGCACCCAGAAAGTACACTTACTTGCCAGGAACTCAGCACCAAAATCTGTGACTTTGTATTGTACCCTGCAGCTCTCCAGAGACTCATGACGGAAACCCAAAGATCTCTATAGATGTTAAACCCTGCAGCTCTCTATAATTCATAGGGAATTCTGTACTGCTCTGTATGGTCTTAATATCCTATATGACAGTGTGCATCCAAGGATGAGCAGCAGAGGGCACCCTGGGCATCCATTCTAGAGTGAGGTTAGTAATGTGAATCCTGCTAAATGATAGACTATGTAGCTTTGCGTATAAACTAATAAGTTCCCTGATGTTTGAAAGCATACACCATGTAAAAAACTGTTACTCCACTTTTATGCGTTAGCACCTTTAATGCCCGCCTTTGCCTAATGTGCCAAAAAAAGCCAACTTTTTATTCTTCTTTTGGAATTTATTTTTTGCTGATGATTTTACAATTATTTACATTCATAAAATGAGAAATAGTACTAAAACAAAAGGCGCATTTGGAATTTGAAGGCTTTTAAAAAATACATTAAGAAACCATGACAGTCTGCAGCAGTTCGCTGAATGAAAATGTGCACTTTTGTCTTTTCATACACGGAAAGTGATACGTTTATGAGACACTAAAAAGAACCAAAAAGGAATCATTTGAAGCATTGTAGGGTACAAAGAGGTGCAATTACAAAAAAATAAATAAATAAAAAATTTGCACAAAACACTTTGAAACAGAAGTGGCCAACAGGTAGCCCCTTCAGCTGATGCTTCTAGAACTGAAAAGCATCATGGGAGTTGTAGTCCTACAACTTATGTTGAGTACTGATAAGATCTCCATTACATGATCTGCAGCTGCCACCTAGACATATTCCACAGGATGGATATAAAGCAAGAGTATTTGCAATATGTGTATATAAAGAGAAAAATGGTTTTAAATGTGTACATTACCAGCAAGATGCGCCCAATAATTTGTATTCACTAACTTGGAAATTGTCCATAATTCAAAGTGAATTTCACACTTTAGACCAAAATAGACAAACTGAAAACAAAGGTCATTTGAAGAATTTTTCCAATTCAGCTACTTTAGCCTAAAATTGTATATTCACTTTGAATTGCCAACAATTCTATCTTTAGTGCACTGGTGCTTAAACCCTTGGTCGGGACTCTGATGTGAGAATTTATATGAAGCCATGTATGTAAAAGTACATTCTTAGTAGCATAACCACTACATAGCACTAGAGTAGTTATGGTGCCAGCAGTGTCCTGGCGCTCTTCCAAAGAAAGTATTCAAATAGTTTAAGAATGGTTTAATAACTTACCTAGGGTCTGTTGGAAGTCTCTTTTGGAGCCTGGAACCACCTGCCACGCAGGGCCAACTCAGTGGTTGAGAGCATCAACCGAGCACTCTCAGCTAGTAAACTTAGTCCTGCACTGCTGGCAAACTCAGTGTAGGGAACATCCAGAGGAGGTGGTGGTGGGTCAGATATGTTTGTTGCACAGGAGGTGGTTGCAGGCCAGATAAGTTTGATGCAGAGAAGGTGGTGGGTCAGATAAGTTTGTTGCAGAGGAGGTGGTGATGTTCCAGATACATTTGTTACAGAGGAGGTGGTGGTGGGTCAGATAAGTTTGTTGCAGAGGAGGTGGTGATGTTCCAGATACATTTGTTACAGAGGAGGTGGTGGTGGGTCAGATAAGTTTGTTGCAGAGGAGGTGGTGGTGGGTCAGATAAGTTTGAGGGAGGTGGTGGTGGGTCAGATAAGTTTGTTACAGAGGAGGTGGTGGTGGGTCAGATAAGTTTGTTACAGACGAGGTGGTGGTGGGTCAGATAAGTTTGTTACAGAGGAGGTGGTGGTGGATCAGATAAGTTTGTTACAGAGGAGGTGTGTCAGGGTCTTACCTGAGGTGGGAGTCCGGTAGGCAGAGATTTGTGCTCACCCTTGCAGATAAACACAATCCAAGGTGATAAGGTTAGAAACCACCAGGACTGTGAATCTGTGCACAGGGGCTGTGCATGAAAGGTGCTTCAATTCGCAGCACAGACAAGGACACAAGCAGAAGGATTGTCGACGATGAGCCAAAGTCAGAGGATGCCAGAAGTCAGGATAAACAAGGAGGAATGCCAAGGTCAGGAGCCGGGGTCAATCTGGAGAACAAGTATCAGGAGACAAAACGGGAACAACTCACGATCACCAGAATTCAAGAACTGAACAAGTTCCCAGGGCAAGGCAGTGTTTAAATACCCGGTTGATTAGCGATCTGCCTCAGGTGAAGCACAGGTAGGTGGTGGTGGTGGTCCAGAAAAGTTTGTTGTAGAGAAGATGGTGACGGGCCCGATAAGTTGTCAAAATTGCGCCAAGGCAATTCTGGACCTTAACAACAAAAGAGGGCTTTAGTGGTTACGGTGTTTGGAGTATTCCTTTAAAGCCCTTTGTTCTCTTTATGAAACATATTTTCTTGAAATTACAGGAGTTCAAGAGGAGATTTTTTTTAATGATTTATATTTATACTGTAAACACATTTTTGAGGACACCGAGTCTGCTTATGATCAAAGTAATTCAAAGTAATACAGATCTCACTCATTTGTAAAAAATTTCAGTCAGTGTTCAAGGCTAGATTTGTATATTCTTCTATGGTCTTTAGATGCCTTGATTCTGTCAGCAGATAAAAGCCAAATGGCCCACCTACTCTGTCCACCTCCTATACAGCACAATAAGCTTTATTCTTAGTCTTGTTTCCTGATCCCATCAGCAATGTGTCTCCATCTAAAACCTAATTGAAGTCTTCTACTTTAGCAGTCTCGTTTGCTAAGAGGCTGTGCCACGTATCTCCAACTCTTTCTGGAACATCATACATTTTGGTGATAGTCCTAGACATCCCTTCATGGGTTGCATTCTCTTGCTGTAGCTACTCTCTTTCTGCTGAAAACATCACCTGTCGTTTTTTAAATCCCTTGAGATATACCTAACAGGCACAGATCTAGTGGGGGCGGGGCAACAGTGCAACTCTCCACTCCTTTAGTATCATTTTACAGGTACACGCATTGGCTACCAGAATTTTCTTTTCTTCTTCGATCAAGAGCGCCAGAAGACAAACACTGTCAGAGGTGGTTTAAGGGTATTTTTCTGGCTATTGTTACAGTATCCACACTTGTAAAGCAGTGTAGCAGAACCACTGTGTCACACCCACCTGGAGAGTCGTGGAGCGGATGGAACCCAATTTGCAGCGGAACAGCACTCCCTTACTATCACGACCCTTAGGAGCACCTGGAAGTGGAGACAGGGTCCCAAAGGGTCTGTGGTGGCGTGGAGGCCTTTAATGAAAAATAATAGTAAATTTCCAGAAGGCAGCAGCAGGAAAAGCAGTGTATCCACACTTGTAAAGCAGTGTAGCAGACACACTGTGTCACACCCACCTGGAGAGTCGTGGAGCGGATGGAACCCAATTTGCAGTGGAACAGCACTCCCTTACTATCACGACCCTTAGGGGCACCTGGAAGTGGAGACAGGGTCCCAAAGGGTCTGTGGTGGCGTGGAGGCCTTTAATGAAAAATAATAGTAAATTTCCAGAAGGCAGCAGCAGGAAAAGCAAACAAAAATGCAGTCTTGCAGCAGACAGAAGTAAATGATTAATCTGGATCTAGGTGAGGAATCAGGCTGTAGCAGTTGTCCAAGGAATCGGGAAGCAAGAACCGGGAACAGAAGCTGGAGAGTAGGACAAAAGGCAGGAAAAAAGCAAAATAACCAAGCACTGACTAGGAGGTGTGCTGGGTTTAAATAGGTAGCTGGGATCACATGACCAGCCACCTCCCACCAGTAGGTGGGGCACACAGATGTTACATAAAGAGGTCAGGGACTCGGCGCCATCTTGTTTTATTTCCTGGTCCCTGACCTGTTCCTCCCCAATGGATCTCTCAGGAGCAGTGAGAACTGCGATTCTGCCGCGAGGGCGGTGTGGGCGCCCAGGGGCAGGTGAGTACCTAGCTGTGCCATGACACACTGCTTATTCGTATGCTTCCTCTTGTATTGTGTGTAGAGCGCCCATACGAACAGAACTCATTCATCTCCCAAATGAGGACCACCCTGGAGCCCCATTAGAATGTTCACACCCAATTAATTAGAACACCCGTAACATAAGTGCGAAACCGCAAGGGAAATAATTAATGAGTGCTCCCCTGGGTGGCTGCCATTTCATATAGACGTACGCCAACCAGGGGGAGCATTCATATCCCGAAAGGAGACGCTTCCCTTGCCTGGGGTTCACACAAGAGCAGCGCGAACGGAGACCAGTTGGGGAAATGTACGTTGTGGGGGTTCATAAGGTTGGTGGGGACACTTTTGGGGCACTGACTAGTTTGGCGGGCATTCTGTGCCTGGGAGACAAGGCTGCGATCATTGTCGCCCTCATGGAGAGTAATTGCTTACTATGAAGAGAGCCCCTCGCAAGAGATCCTGGCCAGGT